GAATTGGTATCTCACACCTGGCAAAGTAACTGGTACCAAGTAGTTAAAGTAATGAATGAGAGTAAATCCCTGTTTTCAAGTTCACTACCAATCTCAGGCATACATGTCCTAGGGGAAAAAAAAATCCAAAGATTATTTTGTAAAGAGAGAAAAGACAGAAATAAATGTATTTTGGTTTTCCCGCTCAATTTGTATTTTCATTGCTACAATTCTTGTGCTCAAGAGCTAGTTCTAGGGCTGGGATTGTGGCTCAGCGGTAGAGTGCTCGCTTTGCATGTGTGAGGCCGTGGGTTCCATCCTCAGCACCACATAAAATAAATAAATAAAGGTATTGTGTCCAACTACAACTACAAAATAAATATTAAAAAAAGAGCTAGTTCTAATATTCATGGTTAGTTTAAAACTAGTAGGGTGGGCCTAAATGGCTGATAAGGTTTAATTCTGGTGGCTTATTTATTAGCTGAGGGACACCTATTTTGCATCGTCATCTTTTGAATAATAGAGTAAAATGATCTTACATATGCATTTTAAGTAGGAGTTGTGATCCCAATATATGTATAAAATTTTTACAAGTATTTTATAAATGTGTAGAAAGAAAGGACTTGAAAGAGTTACTCAGTCCAGGTTAATTTTTCTAATTAACAGGGAAAGAAACAACAATTTTGTTTCCCCCCTGAAAATTTTTTTCCATATTCTTAACAGCCTATAAGCAAAATATAAAATTAAAAATGACAAATTGTCTTCTTATCTCAAGACTATTGGGAAAATGTCTCCTGAAACATTAGGTGATGAATTCAGTATGGGAGTCCATGCCTCTTGTTTTGCTGCTAAAGTCAGATCAAGTTCAAACCACTTTTGAGTGACGGAAACTAACAAAGTGATCTGGATAGTTAAGCCCCACTAATATTAAACTGGGATAATTGTGGCAAGTTTTTCCTTGAATAACTCCAATTGTTATTTTGACTCTTCAACTTACTAATATACCTTTGAGATTAACGTGGAACATTTGGTTATTATAGACTTTGGGGAAAGTCACTGTATCTTTTATCTTCCCTTCCTTGTGTCTTTAAGGAAGGCCCACAGTTATCTGCTTCTAGAGCTTGTTTATTTGTGAAACAATCAAGATATGTTTGGAAAATCACAACATAAATTGGTTTAAAATATCAGTTGTTAATAACACGTAAAGATGTTCAGATGAAGTAAAATCTGGTGATTAGGAGTGACATGTCGCTCGACCTTCTGAAACTTTTCAGGATAGTATAGCATATATCTTCATTTTTTTCACCTCTGTACTCTAGATCAATGCTTAGAGCTATTGAACGCGTCTTTTCTGAAAGAAAACATCCAAAAACCACTTTCAGCTATATATGGACTTCCATTTTCCTCTTGAATATGCAAGCTTTTGGCCATTTGTCTAGTTCTAGAGTTTTTGTTTTGTTTTGTTTTAATGATAAAACTCCTTCTGCCTGAGTTCTTGGAGCTGAGGCATTTGTGAAACCGTGAGTGTGGCAGCTATTTTATTTGCCTTTGATTTTCAGGTCTATGTTTCCTTGGTCTTTCTCTGTCTCAATGTTTTGCTTATCTTCTTGGTGACAACCAAAAACCATCTGTATGTTATATCTGTTCTCCTTGCGGATCGTAATTGGGTTTTCTTATTTATTTCTCTCTATGCTCATGATTTCAAGAATGATTTCTATTGCTCATAAACTTGACTTGTTACATTAGATCAGAAATAGAGATAAGGACAGAATAAATATATCCTTATGAAAGTGCCTCCTACAACATTATTTCTTTTTATATATTGGGATAGCTGCAGCTAAAGGGTGGGAATAGTTTGAGATAAAAGAAAGATATTAATTAATTTAAAAACTTAGTAAAAGTGAAAAATATTTTCAAAATCTTTTGTCACTTTTAAATCAAGAAGATTTGGTCTATTAAGAAACTTTATATCTTATCCAGTTCTGATCTTTCCTTAGTAGTATGTAATTTTTTACCATCCAATGGAAAGTGCCTTCCAACCATAGAAGGTGGGTAGCTGTGGTCATTTTTAAAGCCTCAGGAGTTGACTGAGCATGAAACTGAGGGTTTATGAGAATGCAATTTCTTCTCCACTTGCCTACAAGATTGAAACCTGGAATTCTACCCAGTGTTATAAAAAATTAAAAATTAAAACAAAATTAAGGTCTAAACTGGGCACAGTGGCATTTGTCTGTAATTGTGGTTACTTAGGAGGCTGAGGCAGGAAGGGTTTAAGTTCCAGGCCAGCCTGGGCAACTTAGCAAGACACTAAGAAAAGGGCGAGGCATGTAGCTCTGTGGTAGACTGCTTGCCTACCATGTATGAAGCTGTGTGTTCAAACCCTGGTACTGGAAAAAAAAAATCCATGATGTGAGGACTATCCAGTGTATTGCTGTCCAGACAGACAGACAGACAGACAGACAGACAGACACACACACACACACACACACACATACTTAAATATGTATATATGTGTATACACACAAATATAAATGTGGTCTCTTCAGACTTGGGTCTAAAATTCCAGAAGATTTCATATGTAGAAAGTAGGTTCACACTTCCAGTTAAACTTTTATAAAAATTATATTCTCTTTAAAAAATTGTTTTAGTTGTAGATGGACATAGTATCTTTATTTTTATTTATTTATTGTATGTGGTGTTGAGGATTGAACCCAGGGCCTTGTGTGTGAGTCAAGTGCTCTACCACTGAGCTACAACCTCAGCCCTCTTGTAAACTCTTTTTTTAAAAAAAAAAAAAATATATATATTTTTAACATCTTTTTTTGTTGTTGTTTGTTTATTTTTATGTGGTGCTGAGGATCGAACCCAGAGTCTCACATGTGTGAGGCAAACGCCCTGCCACTGAGCCACAACACCAGTCCCCTCCCATAGCCTTTTAATTGTTCCTCTTTTAATCTGTGAAGTTCTCATAGCTTAGAACTCAAGTGAGTCACTAAGTATGATTCCCGTATTCATCAGCTTAGGCTGCCTTAATAAAATACCATAGACTGGGTAGGGTAAACAATGGGAATTTGTTTTTCAAAGTACTGGAGGCTGGGAGTCTCAGATCAGGAGGTCAAGCATGGTTGGGTTCTGAGGAGGGCACTTTTCCTGACTTGTAGTTGGCCACTTTCTTGCTATGACATTATATGAGGGGAGGAGGAAAATAGAGGGAGAACACACACACGTACTCGCTGGTGTCTCTTCCTATAAAGGCATTAATGTCGTCATGAAGTTCCCATCATCACGACCTCATCTAACCCTAATTGTCTTCCAAAGGCCCATCTCCAAATATTATCACCTTGAGATTAGTTCATATATAAATTTGGGGTGGAACACAAACATTCAATCCATAATACTTCCCTTTATCAAACTGGTAGTATTCAAGATTTCTAGTGGTGGGTGGCATCTAAAATTGAAAAATACTGATAGACTATCCATAAACAACATGAATGGTAGTTTTCTCTAGGTAGAAGAAAGAGATTTTCTTCATTTCTCATGCATTTAAAGTATGTTGCTTTTATAACTGGAAAACTATAATAGGTGTTCTTTTTAAAGGAAAATGAAGCTGCAGTATGTAACTTGTCATAATAATCTTGAAAATTTTAGAATCCTTTTATTTCACCTTGGGATTTTTCTGAGGTTTAATGAAAGTGTCTACTGTACTCTGAGTCCTTGGTTATGGGTACTTAATGAAGCTCAGTAAATAGTTGTCATTTTTCTTCCTTTTCCTCCTTTTAATATGATGACTTAATGATTGTAATTATTATTATATTGCTACAGGAGGTATGCTATTGAGCAAATAATACAGGAAAATAAAATAAATAATAGCCACAAAGACAGGACAGACATGTTTGTTAGAAGACTTTAAAAAAATGAATTAGTTATAAATAAAATAGCCCTTTATAGTGTTTACTTTTGAAATTCTTAGTCTTTTAGATTCTTAAAAAAAAAGAATTGGTGACTTGTTTTCATTAATATTCAATGACAAATTTAATATAAGCTCCTTAAATATTTGCAGTAAAACAACAGGTAAATGGGTGACAGTAAGAAAATTTAAGGTCAAACTTTTGATGTGCTTCATTCTGAAGACTAATTTGAGTCTAATTCCTGAGGTTGGGGAAATTTTTTTGTTGTTGTTTGCTTGCTTGCTTGCTTGGTTCTGCTGCAAAAGCACTTTCTTTTCTATGTCGAATGCATTGTCTCTTATTATGTACTCTCTTGTGTATAGAGTCTGTCTTTGGTTGTTTTTTTCTCAATTAATCCCACATCTGAATGTAATATTTTTAGTTTTTTTGGGTCTGTAAATCAATAGGTTAGAAATGCCCTGCAAGGTAGTCATGTTTTTTGTCACGTAGGGACCTGACTGCTGGCCAAATAAATCATGATGTTGTGATATATTATTTCCAGTTGCTATAAATTTTCAATATTTAGTGTATCAGTCATACTAAGTCAAGATTCAGTTATTTAATTTTGCTTATATCTGCATTTTGGATGAGAATCCTTTTCTCCATTAGTAGGTTTGAATTTCCTTCTGAGTCAAATTCCAAGCATGCCTTATAAAACCAGCCAGGGAATATACGCTTGAAGCAATGCTTTTTTTTTATCTTTTCAAGTGGACTTAAAAATATAGTCCTTGCTAGACTATATTCCAAATTATCAATTTTCCACTTAAATCATGTTTTTCTTTAACACTTTAAATCCCTGTTGTCACCATTGTTTTGGTAATTTGGTTCCTAGATATTAGTGAAACAAATTGAAATAACTCTCTGTATTGTGTTGACATGTGACATGTGACTGGATTATGAACTTAGTTATCTTATAAATGATCCTTGGAAGTGAAAAAAAATATATTTTTCAGAATTTAGGATTATATCTACATAATTAATGTATTACTACCAAATTGCTTTTTAAAACTCTGTTTCTGACAATGCTGAAAACAAAACAAAACAATGTTCTTTCTTTCTTTTTTCCACCAACAGGACACAAAAATCGCTTCATTGGAGCGAAACATAAGGGATCTTGAGGATGAGATCCAGATGTTAAAAGCCAATGGTGTGCTGAACACTGAGGACCGTGAAGAAGAGATCAAACAAATAGAGGTTTACAAAAGTCACTCCAAGTTTATGAAGACCAAGGTACAAACCAGAGTTACAGACTTTTATATTCTTGGTGTGACTAGAAAGTTATGGTTTGCATGTATACTTTTTCCAAATACTTACATAATCTGCTTTATGTAATATCATGAACTAAATGAACAATGAAGAATAATGCAGAGGATTGTTAGTTCAGAAATGTAGATTCCATAAAGGGATCAGAGAAAACTTGGGGTGGGATTTCTATTCATTGTGAGGTTTAGGTCTTAACAAAATATCATAAACCACAACAGCCAAGGTGCAGCACACACAGTCCCTAAATTACTGTAGGAATGAAGATCGCAGGAATATATATGAATGAACTCAGAAGTTTGGGCTGAGGCTCTAACTCAGTGGTAGAGCACTTGTCTACGATCACACAAGAGGCCCAGGGTTCAATCCCAGTACTGAGAAAAAAAAAAGAAGTTTGGGGGAAATTATTGTTTTGACTTTAGCTTTTCATTCCCATTCCATCATTCAACAATAGATTAGTTGTTCAAGTCATTTCTACAGCTGGAAATGCCCTGAAATTGGCAAACTGTCCTTCATCATGGAATCTGTTTAGGTGAATAAAACATTTCTGTGGTCTTTAGCAAGCAAGTCATGACCTTTATTAGCCCACCTTTGTCTAAGAGACCATCAGTTTTTTAGTTAGATTAACTTTTAGTGGCTAGTTGCTTTTGAGTTCCAAAATGGTCAAGTCTGAGGAATGTTTGAAGAGATCTTGTAGTGGGGTGAGATGTAAAGAGTACAGGCTAAAGACAAAAACAGACTCTGGAAAGTCTCTAGCTTGCCCTTGCTAGCTTATGGACTTGGGGGAAGTGACTTAAGTCACTCAGTCATACTCTCATCCTCTATAAAATGGGGTCAACACTGCCAAATCTAAAACATGGCTCAAGGAGATTGAAAGAGATAATGCAGTGAAAGCACCTGGCTCAAAAAAAAATAGCTAATAATTATAAACATTACTCTTGAAGGTGTATAACTAAATAATAATAATAATAATAATAATAGTAATAGTAATATAATAGCAATTTTATATTTAAGCTGAATTATGTAGAAAAAATTATTTCTGAGAAATACAAATAAGAATGAATTCTTCATTCATGCAGATATACCTTAGAGGCTGGTAAACATTAGCCAAATGGTGCTAGTAAGAGTCAGTTTTTACATTTTCTTCATTGAAAGAATATTCTTACTGGATTGAACTAGAATATTTGTTGCTCATTACTGGTTTCTCTTAATTCTACTTTGAGAGGTAAGCAGGATTTTTTATTTAAGCATAGTAATGTTGTTTGCACTAATTATTACAATGAATAAAGAATGTAGATTGAAGGGAAAGGGAATATTTTAAATAAACATATACCCCTATTTTTATCTGAGTGGATGGCTGGAATTAGTAGAGCCTTTTGAAAAGTCTGTGATTAAATTATGTAGCAATGAAGACCTAAATTGCTTTTATAATTATGATATCATAGCAAAATCAGGGTATCACATTTTTTTGGAAAGGTGGAAGATTAGTTACAAAAATTTTTTAAAAAGCAGAGTTTTAGAATTTCAACTGGTATGAAGGTAGGGATACCAGACATAGTTGACCAGGGCAGAAATCCCAACATCTAGCAAGTCCTTTGGCACATGGACATTGTCCTTAAGTACTGAGATTCTGGGAGACCTTCTGAACTCTGCAAGTGTTTCCTGAGAGAAACTCTGATTCCTACCCAACTCCAAATGCTTACAGGAATCTAATTGTTAGAGCTGAATCTAAAGAGGCCAGAGAAAGCAGGAACATTAATAAGCCTTTGAGAATGGAATGTACCATATAAATAATTGTTTCTCCAAAAAGTAATGGCACCCCCTTTCTGTACAATACTTTGTTCCTATTCTAGCACATTTTTTATCTACTGATTCCAGCATTTCTATATTAACTGCTCCCTCTGTTTTCAGTGTTTTCCAGAGAAGCCGACATTGTCTTAGATCTGCTGTCTTAGATCTCCTCCTTTATTCTGAATTTGTAACACATTTTCTTATAAACCTCTGACAGATTACAAACCTCATAACCCAAACTGCATGATAATAAGCATATCACTTTCTAGACATGAAGGCCATATCTGCAGTGAAAAAGAAGCTGTGTTCCTTGGCAGAGTAGTTTTTTCAGGGTGTTGGTTGTGTCAAAGACATAAGTGGGGGAAGAATTTTCAGACGGGATGAAGTGTGCCTGATGTCCACATGGACTTCATATGAAGCATGTGATGTAATTCCAACGGGCTTTTCTGTTGGCCATCATAGAGACAGACCTTCCCCAGCCTTAGTTCTTATGTAGGTTCAATTGCATCACTTTTCATTTTTATTGAGTCTATGGCTGTAAAAGAAGCAAAAGGCATATTTTTATGGAATAGTATGAGTTTTTACCCTGTAACTGTATTCCCCTAGGAAAGCCTTTTTCTGTTATTGTCAGCATAAATATTTATTTAAAATCTACCTCATGGCAATGATAGTCTGAAAGCTATTTAGAGCCACTGCCTGCTTAATATTTATAGACTGAAAGAACTTTATTATTATCAACCTATCCTGCCCTGCCCTTCCTTCCTGTGAACACCATTCTGTGGACCAAGTTGATTTCATTCAAATTTATTTCCATACCTCAATCCCCATACCACCTTTCTACTTCAGTATTTGTGAAAGTTAGCACACATCAGTTTTTTTTTCTTCACTATAAACATCATCTTTGCTTAGGCATGCAGAGTTGAAAGTTTTTTGGGCTTTAATTTCAGATGAATCAGTTTCATATGTGAACTCAACTATACTCTGTGCTGTCAACTACAACTGGATATGATTTGGGGGCAACTCCCCCTAAGGAGAGTGCTGATCATGCTGATCACAACAGAGTTTAACTTCCTTTTTCATTTGAAGTAGTCTTAATTCTCATTTCCCCTCTTGTTATATATGAGCAAGAGAGAACTTATTTTATATATATATATATATTCTTGTTATATATGAGCAAGAGAGAACTTATTACTTTTGTCCCAAAGAGAAATGACCATGGGCTTATGAGCTGTTCAAATAGGGGAGTAATATTTTTCATGAATTGTCTGTACCTGAATACTGCTCTCACCTGCTCACATGAACATCAGTAAGCAATCATGCTGCTTTCCCAGTGAACCTTTAAGCAGAACCAGAATCTTTTATAGGACCATTTTCTATTCAGCCACTACTGGTCCTTTAGATTTGGTAAGCTGGATGAAACCTGTTTGTTCCCCAATGTAGTTTGACTTCTTCTGGGAAATAGGATTTCCTTCCATAGTCACCTAATAAGTTGTGCAGCCTGAAGATGTTGGTTTCACTGTTTGTTAGGCTAATCATTCAGTTCATGTTCAGCTGTAACTTCAGTAGCTAGATATTTTTATGTCAGTTTTTGTTGCAAAAAACAACAAAATTGCTGATTTCTTTGAAAACACATATTTTAAAATGTAGTTAGGAACTGTCAAATCAGAAAGAATCTCAAGGGTCAAAACTAAGCCAGAGTAGGGAGTTTGTGTTACAAGTCGTGCTCAGGTTATTTCTTCACATTGGCATTTGTCAGACAGACTTAAGTGTTTGTTTTCATAGTTAAAAGGTTAGTGGAGAAAACAGACAAAAGACTGATCTGGTTTAGAGGAAGCATCTAATAGGAACTCCATTATTACCACCACATAAAACTAGGATCCCAAACAATTATATTCTTAGTGCACAGACCGAAAGAACTATATATAACTTCTCTACTTTACCCATTTTCCACTTAGACTTGGGGCCTTCAGAACAAAATTATATATTTTAATACCCTGAGCAAAGTGAAAGGTGAAAAAACTCATTTTGAGAATCCAGCTGGCTCTTGCACAGATGTGCTATGTGAGATGATCCAAATAAAAACTTTAATATGGGAATATAGTTTAAAGGAATCCTTGGTTGGTAGTGCCCTCAGATACTGGCAGAGACAAATGCTTTGAAGAATCACATGTGCAACACAGGCCTCAAATATTTCTCCACTAAAAGTTCTTCAAAATATGAATACAGTGAAAAATAAAACTCAAATAATCTGCAAGAAAATCAGCCACCATAAGTGAAGCTAGCAGAAAGAAATAACAGCAGAAATAGAAGGCAAAAAAACTTCAGAAGTTAGAATTATAGGACAAATACTATAAGTAGGTTTGTTATGTTTAAATAAAAGAAGGGAAAATATGAATAGATCAAGAGACTATAAAAATTTCAAGCAAATTTAGAAATAACTAAATAAGAAGTCTAGAAATGGGAAAATATAAAAAAATTGCAAAAGCCCAATGAGTAGTTTTAATAGTAGAGTGGTTATAGCAGAAGAGAGATGTAATAAGCTAGGAAACAGAGCAGAGGAGATTAAGTGAAGGTAGGAAAAAAAAACATAAAAGAATAAGATCTAGTGTAATTATAATTGGAATTCCATAGTGAAAGAGAGATGAAGACAGAGTCCATATTAAGCCATTATTTGAAGAAATGAAGGCTGAGAATTTCTCCAAATTTGACAGGTACAAATCTGAATATTTAGGAAGCCCAAAGCATCCTTGAATAGAATTAATAAAAAGAAAGCTATCCATTTGCATCAAAGTAAAACAAAATCTCAGTGGCAAAGGAACAGTCTTAAAAAGCCGACAGAACACTTATCCACAAATGATGTATGAGTGGCAAAGGAATATATGAGAAGGTGCTTAATATATTTAGTCATTATAAAATGTAAATCAGAAGAACTACAGTGAGATGCTACTTCATACCCACCAAAATGGCTATAATTGAAAAGATAATAACAAGTGTTAGTGGGTGAGTGAAGAAATTGGAACTCTTATATATTGCTGGTGGGAATTTAAAACTTTTGAAAACAGTTTAGAAGTTCCTCAGAATGCTAAACAGTTTACCTTGTGGCCCAACAATTTCTCTCTGAGGTGTATACTCAAGAGAATTGAAAACATGTGTCCCCACAGACTTCTGCACAAATGTTC